ATGATTGTGCTCTCACTAGTAGTATAGTACAGCAATGGTGTTTCTCCAGTGTTGGTGGCTCTCCAAGTTTAGGTCCAGTTCAGTGCCCAAAGAGGTACACATTTTGTTAAGTATGCCCTTTAAAAACTTCTTTCTGATGATTTAACATACCTTTCACATTCCTCTGAGTCTATTTCAACAATACAAGTAAAGTATTTCTTTAAATAGTATCTTCACCCAACCTAGGAGACACTTCCATGTATGGGGAAGTAATTCTTAACATATATTCAGAGTAGTCCTATTCTTGAAGTTCTAAGGAAAAAGTAAGGACTTTCTGTATAAAAAAAAAAAAAAAAACAAAAAAAATGCTGTCAAATACACTTACCTGGTCAGTATGCAGAGTCTCTAGCAAAGTTAACAGAATAGAATGTACAGTTTTTTTTTCTCAAGTACATCTTCTTCCTAAGTCAGATTTTAGGAATAAGTAACCCAGCTAACCACATCTGTTAATTACATTGGAAAGCACAGAGACTTTAATACAGCACAGCTGTTCACAAAGGGAACTTTTCATGCTGGAAAGGAGGTAGTATTGGGCTAAAACAAACTTTAGAAAACAGGAAGCATACATTCAGGCTGTGTGTGAAATGTCCATGTGCATGTTTGGGAAGACCTAGAGTAATGTCTGAAAGCTATTTTTCAACCAAAAAAAAAAAAAACCTACACAGTGTATGAAGTTATATTTTCAAGAATACATTGCTGCATAATTTCATTTTCAGTGCTAACAGGTTAATAAGAAGGTTGAAGAGTCCAGTTTCAGGCACTGAGTTTTATACTATTCTACATATATCTAATACAGGTTAGCTTTTTCACCAGGACAGGGAGGCAAAAGAGGATTTTCTTGTTTTTAATTGAAAACCAGACCAAACCATTGCCATGAATAAGGTGATCCCATTGTTCAGAGGCAGAAATCCCATATTCCTGCAACAGAGTTGCTGCCTACCATATTTTGTTATTGTATATATGCTGCAGTTTCTTTCAAGACAGACACGCTATTTTTCCTCATTAGGAAAACAACAGACCACTGAAAAATGATCCAGACAACACAAGAGCAGCACAAGGTTGAAAGAGCATATTGCTAACAAATCCCTCTCCAGAGAGAAGTGTGTCAGTGGCTCCTCTCAATGCTGTTTATACCAATGTATTTCCTCAATTTTAGGTTCCATATTACAAAAGTTTAGTATTTCTAAAAATCTGTCTGCATATCAAAATTAACATACATAGTTACAATAATGTTCTTTTATTAATATGGTTCAAAGTTGTTTTAAAGAATGAGGCTTACTCTAGGTAGTACCATGGAATGTAACTGAAAAAAGAAAAGAGTAAAACAGCATTCATGCTATGCCATCCTTTTTATATTTATTTTGTTACAGGATGGATACATATATGCTGCTATATGTATATTTTACTTCTAAAAGGAATCACAGAGAACAAGTAAAGGCTGTCTGAAAAGGGGAAGTGGTAAAGATAAGAAGATATCTAGTTTTCATTGTATATCCTTTAATCTTCTGAATATACTTTTTACTTACTTAAAAGTTGTTTCTAAAAAGCAAAGAATAATACTACATATTGTTATAAAACTTGCATATGAAGTCAGCATTTAAAAAATACATAAAAGAAGGATACGTATCAAATTCATTAGTGTTTGACCCTGAAAAGGATGAAAGGAAGAAATAAAAGCCTGCCTAAAGACCTATGAAGTTTTAATTCTCTAAAATGTTATTGTAAACAGATATGACAAAATATTAACTGTTGTTAATGATGTGGTGTGTACATGAACACTATACCAGTAAGTATCATTTTTAAAATTTTAAAGAATACAAATTAAAATACATCTCACAGATACCACTACATATTACAATGGTTAAAATTAAAAAGTTAGCAGTTCAATGTGAGAGAGGAAGTGGAGCAATTGTAACTCTAATACAAAATTGGGATGACTGTAACATGGTACAATCATTTTAGAAAACGATCTGGCAATGTCTTATATAATTAAACAAACCTGAAAACTATTCATCAGTATAACTCAAGAAATGAATGTATGTCTATTTGTAGAAAGACTTATATAACAATTTTCATTGTAACTTTGTTTACAGCAATCAGAAAAGGAATAGAGTTCGTGTCCATCAATAAAAGACTACTAGTATATCCATAAATAAAATACTGTAAGAAAAATGAAATAGACTATTGATACATGCAACTGTGTGAAGGCTTTCTAAACATATGGTGAGGAAAACATTTGCATAAAATAATGCATACTTCACAGTTCTATTTATATCAAGTACCAGAATAGCAAAGCAAGTCTATTGTGGAAAAGGTGAGACGTTGATAAGGGGTTACATTACACAGTTGGATACATTTGTCAAAACTCAATGAATATTTACTTTAAGACATGTACATTTTATTCTACATGAATTCCATCTCAAAAGGAAGACTGAAGTGTACTGATGTGTACAACTTACCTTGAAACATCTGAGAGGGAAAGGATGGACATATGACATAACAATTGTAGTTAAATGTTACTGTAGTATTTAGGTGGTAGTTTTAAAGGTGCTCACTATGAAATTCTTTTATGTTTTGTTTGAAAATGTTCATCATAAAATGCGGAACATAAATATTTTTAGTCCACCTATTCTTTACAACGTACATACATTGCATATCGGAGGTCTTTGTCAATATGTATCTGTCCTCCTCATCTTCATTAAGTTTAATAATTTTATAGCAGGGTTTGTAAATATTATATTAAATTTTTGGAGCCATAATAGAAGAGATTTTTTTGCTTTTGCCTATTATTTATTTATTTTTTTCTTTTTTGCACTGGTGGAGATCAAACCCAGGGCCTCATACATACTAAGCAAACATATTACCATTGAGATATATCTTCTTAGAAGGGACCATGTTTATTTTTTTTAATTTTTTTTTTCCTCATTGAGTTTATTGGTACAATCTAGGTATACAGTACAGTTACATTCATCATTGGGATCTTGTTCCTTTATATGACAGATCTTGGTTCTCACTTTTTCCCCTTGTCTCTGCCCTCCTTTTACCCCTCCTCCCCTCCCCTCTTACAAACACTTCATTTCCATTTTTTCATTTTCTCATTTTTTTTCTTTTAAGGGATCATGTTTAAAATAAACAAGGTACAGTGATATATGCGCACCCATGTTTATAGCAGCACAGTTTGTAACAGCTAAAACTTGGAAATAGCCCATTTGCCCATCAGTTGGAAACTGGATAAAGAAGATGTGGTTTTTCTATAAAATGGAATACTACTCAGCCATAAAGAATGAGAAATTAGATTCATTCATAGGAAAATGGATACATATTGAGGATATACTCCTAAGTGAAATAAATAATTCACACATGTGTAAATACTGAATCGTTTCTCTGATGTGAAAAATTATAATAGTACATAAGATCCTAATGAGAAAATTGACAATGTGAAATAGGAAGAAAAGGGCTAAAGGTTAAGGGAAAGTGGGAAGGGTAGGGGAAAGGGAATAAGGGAAAGGAAAAAAATATGAGAAAATGAAAAAATGGAAATAAAGTGTTTGTAAATGGGGAGGGGAGGAGGGGATGAAGGGAGGGCAGGGACAAGGGGAAAAAAATGAGAACCAAGACCTGTCATGTAAAGGTACAAGATCCCAATGATGAATGTAACTGTAATGTATACCTAAAATGTACCAATAAACTCAATTAAAAAATAAACAAGGTAAATGCTGAATGGGCTTCTTAATTTGCAAATATGAAACATACCACCAGGAAGGAGGGCTTTTAGGAACAGCTCAATGCCTCTCCCAGAATCTTCTCTAACCCAGTTCACTGTACTCCGGAAGGAAGACCAGCATTCCACTACTCTCACGAGAGAGACAGAGGTCCCAATGGGCCTCAAAGTCCCTGTAGGCATGGATGCCATCCTTTCCTTTTCTTCCCTCCCTCAGGTTAGGTAACACCAGCACCAGTAACCACAGTTCTCCCACCCCTCCCCCACAGTGCTCCCCAAGCTGGTGTGGCCAGTCCAGGAAAGGGGACAAATCCGTTCTCTCCTGCAGATACTCTGTCTTTCAAACAGACATGGTTACTGCTTTGTGTACAGTAGACCAGTCTTCCTCAAAAGATTATTAGATCCAAGAGTGAGGTTTATGTTGGGAATATAGGCTGAGGCTTTGACCTTTAGCATAGCAACTGGAAACTATGGCTCAGCCTCAGTGGTGAAGAACCTATGGCATTCATATCACAGTGAGCTGTTTGTTACCACCGAACACTCTAAAAAGTTTACCATCACTGAGATTACGAGAATACTGCAATGAGTATGGTCAAGCTCCCACTGGAAGTAAAGCTTCTCTCCCTCTCCTATTTGACTGCTCTGCTGTAGTGCCTATGTCTTTGGGTGGAATTAGATTATTTGTGGATGTCCTTATCAAATACCACTAGTAACATCGTAATATCACAGATTTTAAATGTATACCACTTCTTTTTTTTCTCCTGACTATATATTTGGTATCCTCATCAATATATAAAGACTTCTATTGCATGCTTTCTAATATTTAGTTAAGGAACATTTTGGTCCAGCGGTCATTAAAGTGTATACCATATGACCAAGGACTACAGGACATTCATCTTCTTCTAACAGAACACATCGATGTCAGGGACCTGAACTAGCACATAAGGGCCTCATCACAGGGCATGTGGTTTGTCCCAGTGTGACAGTCCACATATTCTGAATGTGTGCATTGTTATAAAAAAACAGAAAGTGGTTGACTCTGTCAGTATTTGGCTACAGGATGCCAAGTGATACAGTTTGTGAAATCTTTGTTTTCCTAGTGAATTCCATAACTAAAATTTTTATTGTGTAAGTTTATTCCCATTTCATGCTTATAATACAGAATGGTACTTAAGAAAGCAATGAGGAAGAAAGAACTTTGGCATTAGTAAATTATTGAGTAAATCTGTTTATCGCTTACCTCATTTGAAGGGATTGTGGCAAAGGGTTTGATGACAGCAGCTAGTGGGATCTGAGCCTGCTTAGCCATATCTGATGTGCATGGGAAACAGTATGTGGTACAGCGGATGTATCGAGGGCTGGCATTCCCTGAAACAGTGAAGGGATACACTTAGAATATGGTGAGAAAAAATAATGTTCTAAGACACTTAAATATTTATAAGGATGCTTCTATAATGTATCACCTTATTTGCAAAGTTTTTTTATTTCTTAAAATGAAAAAGAAATACGAAATTCTGCAATGTATATGCTTGGAACACTATAATTTATTGCTAATACCCTGAGTTACATAAAGATATTACAGAGGTGTTTTAGTTACTGTTATTTTCCATGAGTGGGGTCTCAAATAGCCTTAATATAGGTTTGAGAGGTGTTCAGATTCAGTGGCAGATAAAAAACAGAGAGGCCCCAAAATACAAAAAGATAAAAGTTTTGGATCACAAACATTTTTCCTTCCTCTTTTTTCATCACTGTATCTATTTATGGGAAGGGTAAGCATCTATATTCCATTTCATACCATCAAGTGATACTTTGTCAAGTATGATTCCATTTTGACAATTTTTTTCTAAACTTGGCAACTGAATTAGAAATAAAATTCTATCTGTAATAGGAATATTATTTTTAAAAACATGCTAATCTACTTTTAACATACATTAGGTTTCTTGACAAAATATCTCTATTTCATGGCATATATGAGTGCTAAAACAATATCCATGACACAACGGATATTTTTAAAGCACTATAGTAACATCTAAAATCTTGAAATGGAATCATAACATATTAGGACCAAAAGAATACAATCATCAAACAATATTCACTGAGTGTCTACTGAGTTTTAGGCACTGTGCAAGATGCTTCCTTATACAGTTTGTGTTCTTGCAGATAATAACACAGATAATAACAGAGCTAACAAACAAGTAAATTATATTGGGCATTGCAATACTGTATGATGAACAAAGCCTATCTGGTTAAGATGTGCCAAACACTGGGAAGGCAATGGCAATTTTAAATATTTACACAATGGTCCTTATTTTCAAAGGGCCATTTAAGTAAAGTCTTTAAAGAGACAAAGGATCTATGCAGGCAGACTCCTGAGGGAAAGACAGTCCTCGCCTAGCAGAGGGACAGCAGAAGGCCTGTGTGGCTGGCCCAGAGTCACTTTTGGGCATAGCAACTGGTGATGGCTCAGAGAAGAAACAGAGCCATATCAGGTGGACTCCTGAGACCATCTGCCCTCCTTATATTTGAATGAAATGCAGGGCCACTGGCAGCATACAGTGGTCTGAGTACCATGCTCTCACAGAGGTCCCTCTGATGGTGGTCTGGAAAAAGGACACAGTGCTGAGGAGCGGAATCAAGGGAACCTAGGAGGAGGCTGCTGCAAGGGGCAGGAGAAAAATGGTGGTGGTGAGGACTTGCCACCTAGCAGTAGAGGTGTGGGAAAATGGGCAGATGCGAATACGTTTTGAGGGTATAGTAACATATTTATTGATGGAAATGATGTATGTGGTGTGAAGATGTCTGAGAAGGGAGAGGGTCAGGATCCAAGGTTTCTGGCCTGAGAAAGTAGCTATGCACCAAAAAGGGAAAGGATGAAGGAAAGGAAGGAGTTCTTAAGGGCTGTGTGGGAATGATTAGAATTAGAATTTGTCAGGCAGCAAAACAGCAATGTTGAGTAGATGGTTAGACATACAAATGTAGAGGGTAGGCAGAAGTCTGGGTTAGAGGTGCAGGACACACTTGGGGTCTCAGAGTATGAATGGTATCTGAAGCCATGCAACTAGACCAAAATTACCAGGGGAATAATTGTGGTCCAAGAAGAGAAGATGACCAAGGACTGTGCAAGGGGACCTCCAACATAAAGATGTCAGAGGTCAGTGGCTTAACCTAGTGAGGAGGTAGAAAGCAAGGAGAGTCTGATGTCCTGGAGATGAAATTAAGAAAGTGTATCAAGAAAAAGGCAACTGCGCAAGACACTGCTGCTACACCAATGTAACCACCCAGCTTAGGGATCTGGCTAGAGATACTGAAGAGAGAGTTAGGGTGGGGCAAAGCTTGCTTAGAGGGAGTGAGACAAGAGATGAAGAAATGGGGACAGCCATTCAAGGTGTGTTGCAGAGAGCAAAGTAAAGAGAGCAAGGAAAGTAGATCAAGAAAACATTTCTATTTTTTAGAACAGGAGGGATGTTTTGTTTTAAAAGATGGGACTCATTGGATAAAGAAAAAATATTGATGATATAAAAGAAAGAGGGGAGACTTACTGTAGCAATATACTTTAGTGCACAGGAGAGAAGCTGGCTTTTGACAGGAGCTCAGATGTCCCACCCGTGGCCAAGAGGAGGAAGGTGGAGCAGCAGAACACAGGGTAGGGAAGGTCATGCAGGGGTGAGATTTGCACAACTTTCTCAGACAGGAAGAGTGAAAAGCAAGTAGGGAGGGAGGTGCTACAGATATGGGCCACAGGTGTGAAAGTCACTAAGGGGATCGCAAACGTGAAAGTATAAAGGGAAGGATCTGATTTCAATATTCCTGTGGTTCTATGCACAGTCAAGGTATAATGCACAGTCAAGGCTGTGGCCCTGAGTTTAAACCAGGCGTGCAGCATAGCTGAGTCTCCTTCTGGCCATGGTTTGCTGCACAGCCCCACGTCTGGAATGAATGCAAGGTTCTGTTCTGCTCCAACTTATTGTTACCAAATTTTACATTTTTTAGGATGAAATAGAACTCTGTATTTTTACATAAAATATGCTTAGTTTTACATAATGGCAGCTAACTGCTATAGAAACAAAATACTGTGGAGGATGAATTAACATGACTATAGTCTATATCCAGTTTGGAGGCTCCTCCTGTAGGAATCTGGGAGAAAGAGGAATACTGACACAACAAGAGGATGATGATGATGATGATGATGACGATAGCAACTGCCTGTGTGCTGGACATCATTCTAAGATTGTTACACCCGAACTCACTCTAGTCCCAAGATTCACCCTCTGGGGTTGATTCCTTCATGATCCTATTTTTTCTGAGGATGGAACTGAGACACCAGGAGATTAAATAATTTGCCTAAGGTAAATAAGTAGCAAAAATGGAAATAGAGCCTATCATAACTTTCTACAACAGTCCAGAAAACTGGCTCCAGGTCATGAATGCTAGACAAGTTGAGGCCAAACCTGTCTGCCATGACCAACAGTGAAACTTTCTTTTTAAAGATAAAGTGAGATGATCAAATGTCTGGAGACAATCAATCTACTCAAAGTATACAGGATAGCTTCTAGGAGTGGGACATAACCAGAGACAGATAGATTGGTCTGTTGCTCCAAGGGTCCAGGTGAACCCTGAGAGGGTAAAACCAGAGTTATGGCAGCAGTGGTAAGAGAGGCTCTTGTGGCTTTCCTCAGGATAGCCCGCCCTGCATCCTCCAGGATTCGTTTTCTAGCTTCTTCCTCTTTTACTCAGCCCAAACTGGTTCTGCAGAGCCCGTTTCTCCCTCACTCTACACTTCCAGTTTTTCAAGTTAAACTTTGTCACCATTAAAAAAAAAGAAAAGAAAAAGATTCGGTAGTAAGTTCAAATATGTTCAAAATCCTATTATTTCATATTTAGAAAAAACCATCATCTTTCTTCTCATCATGTAATGTCATACAGACTATGAATTAAGAATATTTGAATACTTTAAAGAATATTTTTATTTTCCAATGTACTCAATTTTTACCAGTCAGAATTATAATAATCTATGAAGTAATATATAATATACTAATTTCAGTAATATATGAAATTGGATATCTGTTGTCTTTCAAGATTTTGGCATGGAAATATGTATTTTAATCTAATGAAGGTAGCTAAAATACTTTTGTTTCAGGAAGACAATGTACACAAAGAATAAAGCTCAGAAAGGCAATTGAGAATTTATTTTTATAAACAAATATGGGCTGGGCATGATGGCACATGGCTATAATGCCAGCACCTAGCAGCTGAGAAGCAGGAAGACTGCCATGAGTTCGAGGCCAGCCTGGCTACAGAGTGAGTTTAAGACCACCTGAACTGCAAAGTGACACTCTGTCTCAAAAAAACCAATAGATGAATGCATGAATGATTGAATTAAGAAATAAATAAAAAAGCAAGTAAGTAACTATGGGGCTAAAAGACTGGCTATCATAGATAATTTAACAACTTCAGGAATTAAGATTCAAACTTTGAGATCCTCAATAAAAAACACTATGCAAAAATCTGGCTGAAAACATTCAGCAAATTATCTATTAAACAAATATTGATGAAGCAAGGCCTTATGCCAAGGAATTAGGGGCAGAAGAGAATAAAGTCTCTGGTTTCACACACTAGTTGGAGTGATAACAAAAACAGAACTGCAACATAGCATGGTAAGTACCACAGAAGAGTAAATACACTCGAAAGTGGCACAAGGGCAAAAATGCAACTTGAGGCCAGAGGCGACCACACAAGGGATGACTGCTTTATCATGTCATAAAGGAAAGCAAAAGCATAGAACCAGGGAAATATTGACATCAGATGCTATAACCAGAGCCAAAGAGTATCGTGTTTTTCATATATGTTCTGTACTATCTTTATTTATTTTCCCCACTTTTATTACTGCACACTATATAGATTAAAGGGTTTCATTTTCACAGATTTTTACATGCACATAGCACATTTACTCACCCTCATCTCCTCCGTGCCCCACCTTTCCCCCTAATATCACATTTTTTGGGGGGAAGGTCTCAATGTGTAATAATATATTTTCATCATATGCCCCCATTACCTGCTGTAACACTACTATCTTTCATCCTCTTGTCTAATAATAATCTCCTTTTAATTTATTGCCATTTTTAATCACATATTAGAGACATGATACTTGTCTTTGTGCATCTGCATTATTTCAGTCAACATGATGATCACTAGATCCCTCCATTTTTGTGCAAAGGGCAACAGTTCATTCTTTTTATGGTTGAATAATACTCCATGGTATATATTACCACATTTTCTTTATCTATTCATCTCAATGGGCACCTAGGCTGGTTCCATATCTTGGCTATCACATACTGTACCACAATAAATATGGGTAAGCAGGTGTCCCACGGTACTCTGACTTGAATTCCTTAGCGCATATAAACTTTGGTATACATGGAGCACTGTAATACAATGTCTTTAACTCTTTTGCGAAGACACCTAGAAGGGGATCTATTGGAATTTGTAGTTTTAGTTTTTGAGGATTTGCCACACTGATTTCCATAGTGATTGTAGTAGTATACATTCCCACCAACAATGTAGGAAGGTCAATTACCTAAGAATTCTCTACCTCAGTTTTCTCACACTGTGATACAAGGATGATATAAATGACTACTTCATAAAGTCACAGGGGATTAAGTGAATTAAATGCTTACAAGTGTTTAGAAGATGGTTTTGATAAAAAGTGAGCACGTATGAATCACAATCATTATGGTAACTCATATGTATTTTTATTACTATATTATTAACCACTAGCTTAACACAGAAGCCTAATACATAACAGATATGGAATAAATATTTGCTAAATGCACGCATATGAATGATTGGATGAATAAACACAACCCCGCTGGCCTGTAGCTCAAACTTTTGTGGGAAAGACAGACTAAATCATGGTAAAAATTAACATGTTAAGGAGTTGTAAAAGAAGTATATATAAAATGCTAAAAAAAGAAATTAGAGAAGATTTCAAAAAGAAAATGAAATTGATTTTGGGAAAACTAACAATTTCCCCAGCAAAGTGATAAGAACTACATATTCTAAGGATCTTTGCTCAATAAATGTTATTGGACAACTCATGTTTTTTTAGATAACTGGTAGTTTTCTAGGGATAGAACAGTAAACAAAACAATCTTTAGTGTATTGCAGAGAAAGCACCAACTGAGAATCAGAGACAAAGAGAAAGAGGATGATTTTGGTAAGGTTGAGGCTGCTGGACAGAAAGAAATAGGAGGGAGTGGAGGCTGGTCAGGAATATTCTTTAGGCTATACCACCCCAACATTTTCATATGGATTTGAAATATTAAACTGAATTAATAAATTTTTAATAAGCTTATGTAACACTATTAGATTGAAATTAAATCTCCAGTTTTGTAGATAACAACAGTAAAAAAAAAAAAAACTTCATATAGCCTGACCTACTATATACAGGTTATGAGGGCTTTACAAAATACGTCATTAAAAATATGTACCTTGGTCTTGCACCATGCAGTCGGTAGTGACAAGGGGAGGCACCTGGCCTCTAGTGTTGGTGGCATAAACTTGTCCCCCTCTTGTAGCTCTGTCATTCTCAATCACCTGGATCTGGCAAAAGAGATATCAAAAGCAAGCTAAAGTAAGTCAAGGTCCTTCCAATACTCAACAGAGCTCACTGGCTCACTCTCTTCCCCTCCCTTTTCCCCCTCTCTCCATTCCCTCACACTAAGAGACATTTTCTAAATCCTTTCAGATCAAATTCTCATTGAGAACCCACAACATCTTCAGTTCCATCTTTGTTTACTTTTAAAATTTTAGCTCAGTAATTTCCAGATTCTATTCTACAATACTATGAACTCCAACCCTGACCCCTCAGAGAACTTTAAAATTTTTTTTTAATTTGCTGGCACCAAAGGCAAATAAGGCAAGCAGTGTAAGGTTTCCCTGTGTGGTTTTTGTCTACAAATACATGGTGTGAGGAGGAGTTTGGATGATGCTATCAGTTTTCTTACTTTCAAAAAGTGACTACAGTCACCACCCAAAAGGTTTGTAATAAGTCACTCACTCAGGACTAAAGGGCAGCAGGAGATTAGTAAACATGCTTTTACAACTTTCTTTCCAAAACGGAGAATTTATTTTGTTGGAAAAAGCATGTTACTTTAGTAATAGGAATACAAACAGGCCCCATATGGCAATGCTATTTCATTACTTTTCAGATAAAAATAAATATGGGACTGATTTGTACATATTTATTTGAAGAGTTTTGGATGAATCAAAGCATCTACTGCCTCTTGTTTTGCTGTTCATGTTCATTCACTCCTTCAGTCAAATTCACTACCCCTCCCTCCCTGTACTTGTTCCCTTTCAGTATGACTTGCAGCCACCCATACCACAGGATAGGAGCATAAATGCAATCACAAATGCATCCCATGGATAAGGCACTGTTCTAGGCATTAAGAGATGACACAGTGGACAAAACCACTGCAATCATGAAGCTGACAGGCTCATGCAGGGGTCAGGCAATAAACAAAGAAATATGCTATTAATAAGCCTGTCAGGGAGTGGTAAGTGCTGGGGGAAGGATGCTGGGATACTGGGGTGGACTTGAGCAGGTCCCATACAGGTGGAGAGGAGCAAGGAGGCAGAAGAAACATAAGTGCAAAAGGCCTGAGGCCAGGAGTGTACTTGGCAGGCCAGAGGGGCTGGTGCAATAGAAGCAAAAAGCATGATGATTGGGAAGAGAGCAAATCAGAGGGGTGTGTGTGTGTGTGTGTGTGTGTGTGTGTGTCTGAGGGAGGCAGGGTGCCTAATAGGACCAGGGGTGGCAAAAAAAAAATAGGGTGTTCCAGGTGATTATAAGAACTCAAATAAGCTCAATATAAACATGATGCTTATTTAGCTAGAATAATCAAATATTAAGCTATAAAACTAATGATGAGAAATATGATTAAGATACAAGCATTAAGAGTTGTTAACATTTAATTTCTAAGATATTACAAAGCATGGAATAAGCATTAGACTCTTTACCATTAATGTTCAAGTTTATAGTAAGTATAGAATGAGCAATATACTACAAAAGCAGTCAAAATTTGACACCTCTCCCTTCCTGTATTTTTCCCCTCTTTCAAAGTGATGTGCAGCCACTCCTGTCATAGGCAGTTAAGTTAGACAGAAATGAATATATAGTCAGAAAGGGAATGGGGTCTCAAGGAAGTTGCCAGAAAAAATGAAGACATCAGAGTTGTGGCTGGAGGCACATCTGAAAAGAACAGGCCTCAAGGGAAAGATGGACTGGCCAGGCCTACATGCTTCCCCAAGGGATACATGATAACTTGAGACTGTATCACCGGGTGGAGTGAAGTCCAGACAGACATCAGTCACCCAGGTGGGTGACCAGAGCATCCGGACCCATCCCTTCCCAAATTTTCTTTTGTTCTTTCCATGTACTCTTGCCACATGACCCGTTTCTCTAGTGAATCAACAGTACCTAAGCAGCTATACTAGCAATCTTTTGGTTGATTATAGCTTGATCCAAGTTTTACTCACCTTGTGATTTTGTTGTTTTTTTTTTTTAAGTATAATGATGAATATGATAATCGAAATTTTTTTCTTTTCTTTTCTTTTAAATTGAATTTATTGGTACATTCTAGGTGTATAGTACAGTTACATTCATTACTGGGATCTTGTACCTTTACATGACAGGTCTTGGTTCTCATTTTTTCCCCTTTTCACCACCCTCCCTTCACCCCCTCCTCTCCTCCCCACCTAAAAACACTTTAATTCCATTTTTACATTGAAAAATGTAAAAAAAAAAATCACCTTGTGATTTTATATCCACTTTATGATTTTGCTCTATAAACCATTCTTACAGAAATGACCTTGGTGGTGACCCACTTTTGGGTTCCTGTGTCTTAGGAGCTCTCTCTCTCTTTCTCTCTCTCTATAAACCTTTCCTACTCTTAACCTACCTTGTTCCTTAGAATTAATTTTTCACTTTCATGGGATGCCAACTCAGAGTATCTGACATCAAGCAGTTGGGAGTTATATTTTTCTTATATCATTTCCCTCAGGGTAGAGTTTTCTCTGGATACCCCAGGATCCCTTTAATCCTGGTGCCACCACACTCACACACACAAACACGCACACACACACACACACACACACACACACACACGCACAGAAGGGGGAAAAAGCCTTCTGTAGTGATGTGCCTCCTACTGTCCACAATCAAGGGCAGGATGAGTACTACCAGACAGAAGAGTTTCTGAGGACAATGAATGTAGAAAGTTCCCTGAGAGGGAGAAGAGCACTTACAGGGCTGGGGATGGAGTCGGGATCCAGTTTCTTTGGGGGTGGGGGTGGACCGGCCATCTGCGCTGGACCCCCAGGGAAGCCACCCGGGTAGGAGAGCTGTGCACCTGCCATCTGTGGGCCATAGTTGGCTGCTTGGAAAGCAAAATTTAAAAAGAAACTATAATCCCAAGTCCCAGATGTAAGACTCACTGACAATACTTGTCTAAATCAAACATGCATTTTTCATCTATTACAGAGTGAGGAATAAAGCATGAATAAGTACAGTTGCCTTTTTAAATTTTTGTCTTGCCACATGACTCAAAAACTATCATTCCTTAAAGGCAAAGGACATAGGAATGAAGCTGATTTTCAATTCAGGGTGCCTTGAGTAAGCACTCTGGCTACCTTACCCTGATGCTGTGGAGGATACCCAGAACCCAGCGCAGGACCTGGAGGAGGTGGGGGCTGGTACTGGGCATTCAGAGGTGGTGGGCCAGACATTCCATCCTGCCTATGCCTTGGTGGAGACAGCGATGAGACTCCAGGGCCGTTCAGCGTGCTCGGGGGTGGTGGAAGAACCTGGGATCCAGGCTGCAAGACAGAAGGCTGTGGAGGTCGTGGAGGACCCTGGAAGGGTGCTGCTGACGGAGGGCCAGGGGGTCCCTGGCTGGGAGGTGCTGTGCCGGAACCTGTACAAGAGAGGAGACCAGCCCGCCTCAATGCCCACGGTTCACCTCTCTGACTTCTATGGCATACATGGCCCACACACTTGTTTTCCAGATTACTTTTTTTTTTTTTGGCCATAAATTGAAACATCCACTCAGGAAGTGATACAAATACTACTTGGGGCATTTTATACAACTGGAAAATTTCCAAAGGGTCAAGCAACATTCCTAATTCTAGTGAAAGAGAATAAATTTTAATTCAGTTGCATTATCTTTACATGATACATTAATTAAAGTATCTATATCTGGTATAAGATATTAGAAATAATATAGTAGGAAAATGTATTACATAACAAGCATTATTTGGGTAACTTACACATTCAATAAGTCATTTGCTTTCTGTGCTTAACTTAATTAAATAAATTTCTGAAGTTAGTAGAAATAACCAGCAATAAAGGAAGGGTGATGGGCCATTGACAGGCTTTCGAATTATGTCTTCCTGTCTCTAATTATGCAAAACTGAATCACTTCTCTAAGACTGATCCTTTGGCCGGGGGTTGCTAGGGATTGAATCAGGTCCTGGTGCATATGAGGCACATATTCTGACACTAAACTACATCCACAGCCCCAAGACATCCACTTTAAAAGATTGGAAATATTCTGAGAGGGTTTTATTGATACATCTAAAAACCTAAGTTTAACTAATATGGAAATATTGTTCAAGATAAATGACTATGCTGTTATGACAGTGGAGAGTCCCATGGCTCATGGAATATACAGCATTCCTACAGTTCTGTTCTCTCTCCTCCTTCTCTTTTCTGCCATGACATCTGACCTTCATTCTTCCCATGATCAAAACACAGAATAAATGCACCATGACCATGAAACAGTGATTTTAAGACAACTCTCATATTTCTTAAAGTATTTTCACTGTTCCAATATTTATTTGTGAAGTCAGAAATTTTGTTTTTCATTGTTCTAGCCTTCAATGTAAGGTACTCTAAGGGTCCTTTCTTCATTTTTCTTGAGACAAATGACAGCATGATTGGGAAAAAATGAATTATGGTCATAGATATAACACAAATGATGTCTATAAAGATGTCTAAAATACTACTTTAATATGGCACATCAGGTTATTTCTACTATTTTAAAAATGGAAGTATTTCTCATTAAAAACAATCATAGCTGGGCACAGTGACATACTCCTGCCATCTTAGAACTCTGGAAGGCTGAGGCAGGGAGATTCAAGTTGGGGCCCAGCCTGGGCAGCTCAGTATCTTAGTGAGACCCTATAAATGAACGAATGAATGGATGAATGAGTGAATACAAAAAATGGCAGCTCAGTGCAAAGGCCCTGTGTTCAACCCTAAGTACCACAGGGAAGGGGTCCACAAGGCAGCCAATAGACACTAATACAAAACTATTACCATAGTTGTTGATATGCATAGCACTGAGCTGACTGCCGAGGTGGGTGACAGATGAAGTGGACACAGGACTTGGATAAGATGGTTGTGTTGAAGGCTGGTACTGTGCATAAGAGGGTGCTGCACTGTTGACAGGTGGAGGGCCTGGAAATCTGAGGGATAGAAAAAAGGGTGTTAAACAATACATAGAGTCTCCCAAGCAAATAACATATTATAATGTCAATAACTTGTACAATTGCAAGAGACCATTTCTATAGACTCTAGGAAAATGATTAATATTGTATGCTAAGCTTGACATCAGATCAAAATGAATCATACAGCATCATCTCATATCTATGTTCACATGCTTAATATATGAAGGCAGAAGAAAGAAAATTTCTAATTTGAACACAGAGCCAGACTTGGAAATCAATTTAGGAAGCTAAGCCCACCACAGCTTTATGTTTACTAAAGCTAATGATCAGTAGAAGAGAAATCAAGAAAACTAAATGCTTTGAGGTTGCATCTTTGTGATCTTTCTGCTTCTATCCTATCCAATTTTTAAACAAAACATCACCAGCACTATAACCTGAAGTCAATTAGGGCATTCCCTGCAGAACAGTATTTGGAAGTAAACAGTTCAGTAAGATGTTTTGGAATTGCTAATTTTTTAATCTAAAAAATTCATCATTCTTTTCCTTTGTATGTTTATTTTTCTTTGTTTTGCATCTAAAAAATGGCCAGCATGTGGGCAATGTTCCTATTATGCTTAAATAATCTTGGAGTCACATTATGATTTTTTTAATTAATTTAAAATTTAAAATAAAAATTAAATTTTCCCAGATGGAACTTTCTGAATTTAATTTCTCTGTCTCCACAGGTAACTATTTCCCTAGCAGTATATGTCTTTTAACTTTCATTCCCCAGTGCCACCCGAGCTTAACGACAGAATCTGACAGAGGCCAGTGGCTTGCTCATGACTCCACAAGAAAGTTCACTTGATTTTTAAAAAATTTCAGAAGGAATTTCTTATTAGCAGGTCTCTAGGCACCTTCAAAGGGTAACTCAGTGGCTTCCCCTTTGGCAGAGCCCAACTTCATAGGAGAGTTATGTCCTGCCCCACCCTCCTCCCTACCCAAGTCTAACTACTGTGGAAGAAAGCAGGGTAAGGAAACCCCCGGGCATCCTTGGAGAAGCTCAAGGTAAATGCTGCCTATAGCCTGACTCTGGTGGCAACAGCAGCTCACAGAGCAAACAATAATGGGATTTCCAGCATGGAAGGTGTGATGCTGGCTCCTGGCCCAGGTGACAGTGCCTGGGGGGGTTGCAAGCTCTAAATATCTTAGACATCAAATATCTTGTTTTTCTGAGCGTGTCTCTACTTCATTCATTTCTCAAACTATTACAAATACAAACATGAGTTTCATTTCCTGTGTTGATTCTACTACTGAGAATTCCTCATTGACATCTGTGTCCCTGCTTTTTGCCTTTGGCCTCGGCCTGATTGATTTTATAATATTTATTAAGCACTTGTTGGCACTGAGCTTGGTTCTGTGAAGTATTAAAAAGGATAATGATTTAAAGTTTTATGATCAATATACTCATAAATAATAGGTGGTTCAAGAATTAGTGATTCATACAAACTTCTAAAACAATATAACTCAAAACTTAAAAGTGTGGTATTACAGAAATTTTATGTGATATATTTAAAATGTGCACTAATCCTTCTTCCTCTACATTTTCTAAATGCTTTGTTTCCTAGGGCAGTTTTCCAGTAGATTTTTTCAAAGATGTGGACATTGTGAAGAGACTATACTTTCAACCAATAAAAACACAATTTTAGAAGGTACTTTTAAAAAAATTTAGTGGAGTACATTAATGAGGGTTGGAATCTATTTAGCTCACCTTTGGGGAGAAAGACCTGAGGCATGAGCTCCATTCTGGCCTAACTGATGGGATCCAGGAGGTGGTGGGCCAGGAGACATCATCACCCCAGGGGCAGTAGCCCCCAAGTTCCCAACTGGCTTCATCATACCTGCAACAGAAGTGCAAGGATTAAGAAGAATATTACAATGATAAGAAAGATGAAACAAAGATGATAGATTAACAGTGCAGAAGTGGTGAAGAAAGACAGAAACAAATTGGTTAGGATAAGAAGTCCTTCCAACTTACTGTAATCATTCCCTATAAACTTTCAATGCCAAGGCTCTGGCATAGTTATTTATCACAGTGATAAAAGAGCATATAACAAAGAAATAATTTTACACACAAAACAGAAACTAAAACAGAGGATATAACCTTTGCATATGGTAGAAGCATCTTGGTAGAATATACTATCACACAAAGAATATTAGGTTAATGTCTTAGTTATTTTTCTTGTTGCTGAGACAAAATATCCACTACCCAAAGTTAAAAGTGGAAAGGTGTACTGTAGCTCAAAGTTTGTTGAGGTTTCAGTTCATAATCAACAGGCTCCAAGGCAGGATGGGATGACATAGGGCCACTGCAGAGGAGAAACAGTCCATGGCAAAGCAGGGCAGGCACAAGGCAGCAAGCAGAAAGCAGCAAGTGACAAGCTGCAACAAGTGACTGTCTCTGATATTTTATCCAGGCTACTTGCCCTTAGGGTGGGTAGCACTCACACCCATAGTCCTAGCATCACACCATGAATCAATCCCAGCATCACATCCTCAATCCTATCATCCCACACTCTAGATCTAGCCACCTCTAAAAAACCACACCTATGACTGCATGAGGCTTTGCGGGGGACATCTAGACCTAAGCCATAACAATCACACAATGAAAAATGCCACTTGGATATCAGAAAATAAATCTGCAAAAAAACAGAAAGGGGCAATGGTAGAGTACCCGAACTCTAAATATGGGGGAAAAAAATCCAAAAATGCCTTTGAATTACAGTATGAGAAAAGCCAACAGACAGTGGAGTCTGTTTCTCTGACAAATTCTGAGTATAGATCTTGGAGCTTAATATTTTCCCAGAATCCTAACCAACTGGGAATTGCTCAAGTCATAATATTCATACAAAGTGTAGGGGTCCTGTGCAATTAATTGATGCCTTTGGAAGTGACTGTGTCTTCACACATAAGCAGCTCCTCTCGTCAGTGATACTTAAAGGTTTTTCTCTTCAGAGCTGTTTTCTGATATTTTTTTCTTCTAAAGGATTTGTGGTAAAGGGGAAAAAATATCACTGGACTGTGGTTGGATTCAAAGCCACCAGCCATTTACTCTAACTGTATGGCTCTACACAAGAAACTTAGCTTTGAGTGCCTGCTTCCTCTCTGCAAATGAAAATGAGAACACGTCTAGCCTCTTAAAAGAAAAAAGGAGAGAATATTTTTCTTCTATTTCTTTTCTCCACTTCCATCCTGCTTGCTTTTACTCTATCCCAGCCAATGTTTGTTTGTGGTGCAAGAGATTGAACCCAGAGAGTTGGCACTGAGCTACAACCCCAAGCTATTTATTTATTCATTCATTTTTATTCTGAGACAGGGTGTCCTAAGTCACTAAATTCGCCAGACTAGGTTCAAACTTGTAATCCCCCTGCCTCCCAGCCTCCAGTAGTGCTGGACTTACAGCAGTGGGCCACCACCTCCAGTTCTAGTTAACTTACTTTTGGCCTTAGCCTCCTCTCTGGCACAGTCATCAATGACATAGTTCTTGGAAGTCTACACTCTTCCATTTCACTTTCTGATGGCATTTAATATTAATATCTCCTGTCATCTTTCTCAAGCAAGTTTATTCCCTCAGATGGAAGGGAAATGCCTGATGATGCAGCCACCAGGAAAGGGTCTCTCACATCATCATCACACTGCTTTGAAGAAGGTGCTTTCATATACGTGGGTGATTGACAATGACACGTGACTGTTGAGGTGGCAGTCTTTATGAACAGTATTGACTTTCTCTTAAACTAGCATTTCTTAAATTGAAGAATTCCTTATATTAACTCTATAGTCATAGTTCTGTTTAGCAATCTTTCATATGCCACAAACAAAAACAGTTATTTTAAAAATTTAAACTAATAACACAAAACATAAAATTGTATATGTTAATGGGGTACCCAGTGGTGTTTCACTACACTTATATATCTTATAATGTTTAAATCAGGTTAAACATATCTCTTTAAACTTATTATTTATAAGGTAAAAATCTTCAAAATCATTTCTCCCACCTATTTGAGACATACAGCACATACCCATTATCTACACTGGCCCTGTTGTAAAATAGTGCACCACAGCTTACCACTCCCTCTGAACTGTACCTCGATCAGCCTTTCCCCAATCTCACCTTCCACCTACTCTCCTCCACTGCCGGTATGCACAGTTCTACTCTCAACTTCTATGAGATCAACTATGTTTTAGATTACACATGTGAGTGCGATCATACAGAACTTGCCTTTCTGTGAAAAAAAATAATAACTCTCCATTTTTACGATGTTCTAAAGCTTCAAACCCAGCAAAGTTAGAAAAACATGAGACTCATAGTCATGCAGGGTTTGAATCTTACCCTACCATTTGGTAGCAGGATCTCTTACAACGTACTTTATCTTCTAGAGCCCTGATTTGCAATACTTTGTCAGGCAATAATGTCCCCTATCTCCAAGGGTTGTTCAGAGAAGTAAATGAGGCGAGGGTTATGTGAGAATTCAGAACAACTGCTTCTCCTTCTCCTTCCCTGGCCATATTACTAATTTTCCTTTTTTTTTTTAAGGATCTGTGTTCTAACAAAGCATATACACCATAAATACATGCAGACTTGTGCTTTTTACTTTTAAGACATTATTTTGGACAAAAGTAGAAAAACCACAACAGTAGCATTACACTTTTCAACTTAAATGATTACATGCACTATAAAAAAACAAAGATATTTTTGCCTTTTAAATAAGTAGCTTGGTAGCCATCAAGTTCTACAGCTGTGTCTAGAAACTAGAAAATCGTTCTGATATACCCAAGCAGAACTGTTGTACATCACTCTTAGTAAAATGTGTCCTTTTTGTCTTTGGAAATCAAATTTGTAGCAGTGATTCATCTCACTCAACACAGATTCAACTCATTCAATATACAATTAACACGAAAATAATTTTCTATACATATGTACTAATAATAAGTATTTTAAAACCATGCCTTTGAGACACTAAGAGCTGTTATGGAAGAGAAAACCACACAAACAATAATGCCAGTGACATGTGTTATATGTGCAGAGGACTCCCTGCCTCTTCCTGGGGACTTAAATATCAAAGAGGAAGAAACATGTGAGCTGGGTCCTAAGGACAAGCAGGACTGTTTCTGGTATGGAAGACAGGCAAAGTTTGTGCGAGGCCTGAGAAAGTGGCAGGATCAGGAACTCACAGAAGGCTCCATATAAAGAGACTGTAGGGGACAGTGGTGGAGTGGCAGCTGTCCAGACTGGCTGGGGTCAGACTACATAGTCCTGTGTGCTGTTTGGACTTTATCCCCAGGGGAATGAGAAGTCAGTATCATTGTTATCTGCAAACTCATAGCCTTCCTCTAGCTTCATTGTTGGCATTTTCTAAAGTGATTAGACACAAAAAGTCAGGTTCTTTACATCCTGTGAATTTTAACAGGAAAGAAGCACGTCACAGTGGGAATGAACTATGTTAATGCCAACAGCAAAAAGGAAAACTTTTAAGATCACAAAAGTCATCTTTAAAACGGTGGCAAATAACATAAACTATTTCTTTAACACCAATACAGTATCTTTCTGGCTTGCTTTTCTGCATGGTTCTGAGATGGAAAGATGGAAACTCTACTTTCTAGTCTCCTATAATGTGGGTGGCCCTGTACTCCAAATTCAGCGAAGGAATACAACTATGGAGACCTGGGCTACCCTGGTGGTAGAGATGGCTCCTGGGCTAAGCAGACAGTGACTTCTGCTGGAATGATCTTTTTTTTTTTAATGTTTCAGTTTATTTATTCATTTATTTTATTTTTTGGGTGCCAGGGATCAAACTTGGAACCTTGTGCTTGCAAAGTAGGTAGCAGAACCACTGAGCCAAATCCCCGGCCCTACTGCTGGAATGATCTCATATGGAGTTGTGCAGCTCTATGAACTGCAGAGTCTTAAGTCTGAATCTCTGTCTTTCTCTCTTTCTGTTTGCCTCCTGTTACCCTTTAACAAATCCCTTTCTACTACAAGCGATTCTGCTATCAGCAAATGACCTAAGTCCAAAACAACATCACAGAAAAGCATACCCTAAATTTGGTCCTGGAGCCAAAAAACTAAAAGCAAAATTAAAACAATTTGTGAGGGAAAAAATTGTTATATGGGCAGAATCATAATGGCCACTCACTGTTCCTGAAGCACTGTGCTAAGTGTTATACCTCCATCAGCCCATAATTTAGTTAGGATATTCATCACTGACCCCATAACCCTGCCCTAGCTCCAGGACATTAACACTTCTAGGGATGATATTGCCCCTGAAAGGATGCTTGGCAGTATCTGGGACATTTTGGGTTGCCATATCTCCTGGAGGAGAAGGAAAGTACCACTTGCATCTAGTGGGTAGAGGCCAAGACGGTGCTAATAACACCCTAATGTGCACACACACTCCCCAAAGAATAGTTAGCCCCAAATAGCCACAGCATTGACACTGAGAACCCTTGCCCTACGAAGCAATGTGCACCCTCCTAATTCCTTCTCTGCACTTTCTAATATGCATGTAGTTCTTTCTAAAATGTACACTGGACTGTGATCTTTTGCAGCTTAACTCACTTCACTAGCACCCTACTGCCTTAACATAAAGTGCAAATTCCTCAACATGGTCTACTTTCCACTGCAGGTGCTCTGTTTACCAGACTTCACTTAAATTATTGCATGAGGGATCTAATCCAACAAAGACAGTTTTTAAAAACACCTATGTTGGAAAATACGAGTGCTGGAGCTTGCCATTCACTTCACCAAATAAATATTCATTGTTACCCAGATTTAGCCATTCCATAATGTGTACATATTTCAAAACAACGGGTTATACATGATATAGACAGACAGAAAGAGAGAGACTGCCAAAAAAATATATACATACATCAGTAGTTCTCTAAACTAATAAATGTCAGGAAGCTAACAACCACCACTTTGAGCACCTCTTATAAATGCAGAGGCTAAAGGTAACCTGTATTAATCACATGGTGTCTCAATAAATTTAGTATTAAAATACTGATACAAGTTTTTCTTTTCCTGATGTATATGTGTTTTGGTGGTCTCTCTCTCTCTCTCTCTCTCTCTGTGTCTGTCTCTGCCTGCCTGCCTGTCTGCCTGCCCCCCCATATATACGGTCAAATAAAAATTATTGAAGTATGTGAGATTTTAGAACTGTTTTACAACATTTCCAAGCAAACAAATGAGGCCCTTCTTTACTTCAGGTATACGTGTTATATCATATAATATGGTCAATGCTAGAAAGGCCTGCACCACGTCGAAAACAAAGGATGGACTCTCAAACAAGCTAGAGGAAGAACATGATCAGAGATGCGCAGAAAAGTCTGAAGGAGCTGTGGGAGGATAAGTCTGGTTCTAGGCAATGACAACTTGAAAATACAAATTGGCTTTCTCTTAGAGAAGGATGCCAATCAGGCAGCAAACAGGAACCAGTCTCCAAACTATAATAATAGCATTCATGTTGTACAGGGCATGGAAGTGGCATGAATGAACTGAAAAAAAAGGAAAATGGGTAAAATCATAAGGCCAAAGGAGCTTAAAATATAAGTAGGGGAAATGGGAAGCTGTAAAAGGTTTTAAGCAAAGTCCAAACCAGACTTACAGGCTGTTAAAAAAAATCCCTCTGCTTCAAAAGTTGTTGGTTTGGAGGAAGGCAAGGAGATAATGGTTAACTGACCATTTTGGTAATCCAGGTGAGAGACAGCTGGATTGAACAGAGAGTGACAGGAGACTGGAAGAGGAAGCAGATGGGAAAATGTTTGCAATTTCTCTGAAAAGATTTAGGAAACCAATTGGATTAGCGAGGATAAAAAGAAGAGATTTTAAATATAAAAAAAATTTTTTTTAGTTGTAGACCACTGAATAAAAAATAAATGATGCTAACATGATATGGAATGCCAGAAAAATGGCTATGAAGAGGAGGAGGGGTAAATAATACTGCTATACTTAAGTTCATATGATAATTTATAATTTGCTTTCTTGTAGGTCCTAGGTATAACTCGTGGATCTACCACTTGCCAGCTCTGTGATGTGGCACAAGTCATATTTTTCAAGCCAATGTTTCCTTTGCTGCCAAATAGAACTACTAACGTACTACACAGCATTATGTAAGAGTTAAATGAGATAATACAAATATACCTTTCAGGACCAGTTTTTGAAATATGGTTAGCTCCCAAGATTGAATAATGTGTTATTATACATAAACATTGAGGAATATGAACCATTAGGTTAAAGCTGGAGAAAGATGAATTAATGGTTCCCATAGGAGCCAGAAAGGCAAGATTGTAAATGTTTTGGGGAGGAGTGATCCTGGATAAGAGGAAAGATGCTTCATCTGAAGGACTTTAAAGTTGGAGGAAGACTAAATCATAAGGGTGACTTTCCACAGCCTCAGAGCATCTCCTGCACAAACTACCAGCCATTCTTGCCTCTTGTGAACTCCGCACTCTATGTGCACCATCTAATATGGCTTAAATCCTAGCACCTCATGAGCCCTGCAGGTTCCTCATTGATTTATAAATGGCCATTTCCACAACAGATTAACATTATGCACAAATGACATTATCTGTCCAGGACCAATCCTCTCTATAACACACACAATCTTGCCTATGTATATCCTGTAGGAACCATGTGTCTGTCTTTCTCTAGTTTCCTTCTACCTGGTGGATCATCCCTCCTCATCATTCATATACTATGTATCTATTCCATGCATGCCCCAGTGTTCTCCAATAGCCCAGGAAATGTCTTATGCAACTATTTCCAGGGAATTTGGGACCAGCAGACCTGAATAAAGCTATTATGAGCCTCACCCCTGTCTTATGAGGCTGGGTTCCTCGGAGCAGCCCTTTGATGATGGGAAGTAACTTCATGCTGTCCACTGTCATCAGAGCAGTACATGTCAGATCCACTAACACTTCTCTTTTCCCCTCCTCTGCCCCTAAAGACAAGATTCTCCACTGGGAACAATATTTTAAAGCAACCAACATTATTCAATAATGATTTTAAGGCAAGGCCATGTTTTTCTTATTAATAGCAGTATATAATTTTTACACTCAATTTTAGCCAAAAGGCTGAGAAGTGATGTGAATAATCTTTAATTGTGCAAATCTAATAGTGTTTTTGTCTCCTCAAAATTGGTTTTATAATATTATGACCCAAAACTATCTAACATTTATATTTAATACATTCTAATCGAATGTTTACAATAACTTCTCCCTCTTTAAGAGCAAGAACAAATCTAGCAGTAAAAATAAAACACACAAGAAACATCTTTGCTTTAGTCTACATTTGAAAACCAAATTTGTGTTCTATGAAAGAACCAAACCAGTGGTGCCAGGTTCAGCTATGAGAGATGTTTCAGATGATCCTATTAACTCAAGCCAGTGTGTCATATAAAGACCATCTAACTCTTTCACAAACCCTCTATCTGAACATCCTATGTCTCTGAGTCAGAGATGTGAATAATCACATAGAAGCCAAAAATAACAGTTTACCTGGTGGAGAAGCTGGATGGGAAAGATCCCCATAGTCCCCATAATGAGGCGGAGAGAGGCCTATTCCAGGCTGGGACTGAGAATAGGGCGGTGTAGCCACATAACCTTGTCGACTCATTATGAAAATATAATTCCAAAGAACAATTATACAAAAGATCCTGCAACAGAGAAACAAACAAAAATTTTGTCAAGAGTTTAGTTATTCAATTCTATTAAACGTATGCACTGTTAATCTATTTATGATGGTTTGAGGAAAAGTATAGGCATCAGGTGCATGAGGTATCTTCATATCATATAATATATCATATCATCCCTTAAAAGGGGCTTAATATACACAAATACAATATTCATCTTGAGTCTACTCAGAACCCAAACATCAATTTGCCTTACATTTTTAATGTTTCCAGGTTTTTACAAAAGTTTTATTTCACGGGACAATTTTGAAAAACATCTGACAAGATGTTCTCTGAAACCTGACAAAAGAAGTAGGTGTTCACTCATATTTGCCAGAAGTTAGCAGTGTGACATGAAATAAGCTAGAAACCCCTCCCGGCTCCAGTTCCCTCTTTTAGAAATGAAGCCTCCAAAATCCTTTCCACATAGAAAACTTTCTTTTGTTTTGTCATCTGCTGCCTTTAAAGAGGACTGGTGATATCCCCTAAGAATTGGAATCTGTCTATACCGGGCAAATGGTGCTAACATTTGCACTTTAAAGACTAAAATTTGTGATTTAGTTTCATTCTCATATTCAGTTATGTTTCCAAAATGCAAATAAAGTAAAAATATGACCAGGCCGCTCCGCTGCCTCTGTTAGGGCAGGGAGAACTAAAACGAGCAGGGAGGCAGGCAAAGGCCTTCGGGTCCACTTTGTTCCTAACACTGCCTCCTCCCACTTAGCTGAGAGAGACGTGGCAGCTCGAGCTGCGGTCAAGCTGAGCAGAGCAAGTGCTGGGAAGCCGGCGGGGCACATCTACGCTGCAGCCTGTTGCTGAGTGACACACAGGCCAGGCGGGGATGGATGCTCCCTGCACAGAGCAGGAAGCAGCCCGTTCCTCTCAATGGTCCTGTGAGGAATTCGCTTCCTCCGACAACCAGCTTTGCCACGTCAAACTTCCTCACCCAGAACACCAAGTTGCAGAAACCTGACTCAGCTTCGGCAGGCGACATGGCATGAAGCCACTTGGCACGAGCAGGCCGAGGATTAAAATCTGGGCAGCTCGCATCCCATGCGGACCCGGTCCACTGCCACCGGCGACTCCGGCCGGGGTGCCCGTCCCACCCTGGAACAGGATGGGACTTGGCCGGAGTCAGACTCCCGATGAGGATGTCCCGAGGCTCAACGACGGGGCTGTCATTTTCACTGCCAACGCTCGGCGCGTTCTCTTCCTCCCCGGCGAGGAGCTAAGCAGAAAGCGAGCCGAGGACCCCGCGGGCAGCGACCCCAGCGGCCGCCGGGATACGAACCCGCAGCTCCCGTATCCCGGGCGTGAGGGAAGGGGCGGCGCCCG